TTTTTTTTTTGTTTCATATATATTTAGATTTTAGTTTCAGGTGCATTATTCATTTATTTTTACTTTTTAAAACAAACTTCAAGATCTCAATTTGCCTTTCATAGAACCAACCAATCAGCGGCGAGGCACAACTCACGTGAACAATAAGGGGTGTGGCCTCGCGACGTCAGACTGACTGAGCAGGAAGCCAGCGGTGACATCACTTTCCAGAAGTCCCCTTCAGGTTTTCAGCACCGCGAAGCAACAGCAAAGAAAACAATAAAATAAAGGAGTCCTGCGCTTTCCTGGAGGTCCCAGCTGACTGTTCGAGCTCACATTTAAACACTCAGACTTTACAGGTGAGAATATTCCAACTAAAACTCATCTGTTAAACAGTTTCTAACCGGGCGAGCCGCGGTTTTCTCCAACAAGCTARCGTCGTTTTATTTTCCGGCCAGCTCCCCTCCTCCCTGCTGTTTATGTCGGAACAAAGACTGTCTGCTCAGCGGCTCCGCTACTTTTCTTATTTCTACACTTTTTTCGGTCATATAACTCGATTTAATCTCTAAAATTTATAACCTTTAGAAAACTGACCTGTCTTAATCCGGTTTATATTCGTGCGGTAGTGTTAGCTTACGATCAGTAGCAACATTTAGTGCCTTACATTTCTCTGTTAAAGTTGTTATTTTATATTATTAATAAAATCATGTGTATTAAGGAGTGGTTTGTATTATAGTCAGTATAACCTCGTGTTTTTTCAGAGATTTAAGTTACATTGACAATAATACGGATTATATAAATAAGTTACATAAGTGAATGATGTTTGTTATGGTTCTGAACTTCGTATGAAACATTGAGATATTTACCAGGTACTGTGGGCAAAGGGCGTAGGTTTGTCTCCTTTTTCCCTTCATCAGTCCTCTTCCCTTCCCCAGTCTCTCTCTCTCTCTCTTCCTCTTTTCTTTCCCAGCCGTGTCAGTGGACCGGAATAAGCTGCCAAAAAACACCACATTCTTGGATCAAACTGATTCGTTCAGGCCTACTGAAGTTAGCAGTTTCCGGCAGCTTTGCTTTGTCTCACACAGGGCTGGAAAGCAGCTGAATTTATTCATTTAATTAATATTAAAAACAAACACTGACCTGTCATTTCAGTTTTTCTTGTTGAGGTGGCTTTTTATGATCAGTCACTGCATTCAGGAGAAGAATAAAGACCTGTTTGTGACTTTAGAGCAGGTTGGATTAATGCTACAATGTAAAAACAAGTGTAAGATGCGTTATTGTTGTAAAATCCTTAATCTATTAAATGGTCACGTTTTCYTTGAAGGAATGCTTGTCGCCCACAGCCCCTCATTCCACAGGTTTAAATTAAGATTATGTTACAAAATGGAGTTGCAGCCATTTTGGTCTATGTGTAATGTAAGGCTATCTCACATGACCTGTTAGTAGGAGTGTAAGAAAATATCCATGCACTGAAATATTGCGATATTTCATTTCCAGATACTGTATCGATTTTTAATTAAAGCTTAATGGATGATGTTATAAGAAATGTGAAATGCAGTTCTCACTGTTGTTCTTATGATTACATAAAAACTGAATTATTATTCTTATTATTAGTAAATTGACTTGAGTGAAAAGCCGTTTTTGTGTTTGCCATGATTGCCTAGCTGTGGCGGCCATCTTGAATCAAGCTGAGGCTGAAAATGGATCAGTTGTAGTCGTATTAAGTCAGAATTGCATTTGAAAAGTTGCATTAACACTCACAGATAAAATCGTTATTGCTCATTGACAAAGGAACCACAAATAAAACAAGATTTATTTTACAAATATTTTTTTATTGTTTTGACATTTTTCAGTCTTCTCACTACTCCCTCATTTTTCACAAGGAAATACTTTTATTCCAGTCTTACTCAGGTATTTCCTGTTATATGCAGTATTTAATATCTACCTTGTTTATTTAGAGTAAGATGATGTCATTGCAATATATTTTTTTCCCTGGCATATTTATTTTCAGCCTTCAGTTTTGTTTTAGTGAGAAACACAAAGGAAGCAAACACGTTACTGAAACGTAATAAAATGCTTATCTTTGTTCACAAACACAAGGAAGCTGTTGTCTGTGAGGACTGAAGAATAGAGTTGTGGCTGGAGTAGCTGGATGAGTGAGACCCAACAGTAAARTGATTGTGTTCAACACATTTGTTTATTTTAGGCGTCGAGTGCAGGTTTTTACTCACTGGTGTCAAAATAAAACTTCGTACGTCACTGTTCAAACATGAATCACCCGTGTCCATGTTTTTAACACGTCTGAATGTGCGTGTTTTTGTGAACTGGGTTATTTTTGTAGGAATGCGAGTCTGTTTATAGTTTGACGGTGATTTTGATTTATTATTCATGCTGCTGGTTGTGTTTTTCTGCTGAGGAATAGAGCCGTCCTCATCCTCACGTCTTGTGATTATCAGTTCTCTAACGGCGTTTTTCTGTTGTCCAGTTTCACCACGACTTGACTCGGTTCTACGCGGTCTCTGTGGTTTCAGCGTCGCCTCAATGTGAGCGGGTTCATCATAGCAGGCTGATCAACAACAATGTTACTTTCATTATATCAGTGGTCAAAATGAGCTTACCTCCAGAGGGTAAAAAATGTTAAAATACTCACCATTGTTGCCTATTTAACAAGTGATTTTGGCTTTCTTACTTCAGATAAAATAAAAGGTTAAAATGTTGTAATTATTAGTTTTTATCTATCAATCAAAAAGTAAAAAATATGTCCCACTTTATTTGCATTTTTGAGTTTAAATATTCAAATAAAGTCTGTAGTTAAAGGAGAGTTTGGCAGGAAAACAACGTGACCGAAACAAAAGAGCTGTCAGCTGATTCAACAAAGATTTATTATATTTTTTTCAGGAAGTTGGTTTAAAAATGGCCAAAGAAATCGACTTGATAGACACAGATCAAGTTTTTTTTTGAACATTTTCTCATTCTATTAGAGAAAAGTAGGTTGTGGGTGGTGAGGCCATTTTTAAGTCTGTTATTTCAGCTTCCCTGTGCTTATTATCCTTTATCATCTTACTGAGAGCCTCGCCCTGCTCTCTTTATTGTTGCACCAGTTCAGTCAGCTGATTGTTTCTCATTTCCTCTGCTTCAGGCTACTGGTTTCACGTCAGTGAGGTAAACTTTGTTTGGAGTAAACACGGAGGGAGTTTCAAATAAATTATAAATGGTTTATTAACGCATCGGAGTTCTGAGAGTCGTGAACATTTATTTAGTTTCTATTCTGCTCCAGTTGTTCCAGTGTTTTGTTTCACAGCAGCCGTACTGGGAATAAATTACCTCCTGTGTTTACAGGCCTCAATGTTTTATTTTATCTGGTTGTTTGGGTTGAAAGAGAGTTTTAAACACGAAACAGTTGCGTTTTCTACGCTCTGATATGATTTTGCATATAATTTGTTCTTCGGGCGACAGATTTTATAACTGCTCATCGAGTCAACATGTTTGAACACTTATTCACTTGATGAGAGGAAGATAAAACAAATGTTACGCCAGGATAAGAAGATTAAAGGAACCGATGAACTACATCTCACTAAATGTTAGTTATTGTGCTTTACAGAGGTCAGTAGTTTAAAATTTATTTTATTTTAATGTGTTTAATGCAGATTTAACACAGTCTGCTGGCTTCTTTAGAGTTAYATTATTAGTTATGCCCTGAGACGACAATTGTTGTGACTTGGCGCTATATAGATAATCTGAATTGAATTAATGGAGTAGGAGGGTAAGAAAAAATTGATACATTAAAATATTGGGATATTTCATTTCATGATAATTTTTAATTAAGGCTTAATGGATGGTTGTTGTAAGAAGAAATGGAAATGTAGTTCGGTGTTCTAAATGCATACAAATAAAGTGAGTTTAATCAGATTTTATGTGTGTAATGCATAGTACTGTGTATTGGCAAGAATTWGATATCCATCATGATACGATATATCATGATACTGTAAGCAATGTGATATATTGCCATTTTTTCTCCAAATGATTCTAATTTAAAGAAACTTAATATAAAGAACACATTACACTTAAATCTGCATAAAATCTGATTTAAATTCTGTTTATTTTTATGCAGTCAGACAAACACTGAACAACAGTGTTAATTTTTAAAAACTGTTACGGTCAGAGGTCTTTCTTCTATGTTTATACTAAAGCATGGAATGACATTCCTCAAAACAAAGTCCATTTCAAAACTACAGCCCTTTAAGAAGAATCTTGTCTGCCATCTGCTGGACACTTTTTGTTGTGCTCATATTTAGACGTCTTATTTTGCAAATGCTGCCTTCCTGAATGAAATTTGGTATGCTTGTTTGTCTTTGTCTATGGTGTATAATGATTGTGATGCTGTAATTCTGAGTGTTTTATGTGCAGCAGAACAGGAACCTGCTGTAAAAC